TGTGTGTGTGTGTGTGTGTGTGTGTGTGTGTGTAGCCAGGTGGCAAATACATTTAAGAAAGAAAATAAATAAATAACGAAAGTTGCTAAGATTGAGAAGCAGCAGCTCTGGGTAGGAGGAAGATCTGAGAGCCCAAGGAGCCCCGAGCATCCCCAGCTGGGCAGCACCCACCAACTCCCAAGACTTTCCTATCTCAAGAGAAGCTGGCTAGATTAAACCCGGGCTAGTTTAAGTCGCCTCGAAAGGGGGGAGGGGGGAATAGGCTGGGAAAGCAGCATTGGGCAATTTTTCCCACGGTGGGTTTGAGGCCACGCAGGGAAGGAAGGGGGGGAAGCGCCCCTCCCGGACCCCCCGCCTCCTTTCCACCTGGCTTCCACGCGTCACCTTTAAGCTGAGATGCCACTGCTTTGCTTTGAAGATCGTGGCTTGTTGATGGAACGCCCCCCTCCCCACTTTCCAGGCTCTCTCTCTCTCTCACACACACACACACACACTCACACACACACGTGTCCTCTGGCTCCCTAACTTTCCCCCAACTTGCCCGTTCCGGCGACGTGTCCCCCGCGGGCGCCCGCTTGCAAAAGAACCCCGTGCAGGAGCCCCGCTGCCGCTGCTCCCTTCCAGCTTGCGGCTCCCGAAGCCCAGCCGGCTTGACTCACCCGGCCCGGCTGCTCATCCTCCTCCTCCTCTCCTCCTCCTCCTCCGTCCTCTGCCTCCGCTCCGAGCGCCCGGGAGCAGCCGGGGAGGAGGGAGCCGGTCCGAGCCGGAGCGGAGCTGCCCGGCGTAAATGGGGCTGGGAAGCCGCTCTGCTTTGCTGTGTGGAGGGGGGCGGGCGGAGAAGGGGAGAGGGGCTGCTCAGAAGGCAGAGCCAAGACAGCCTCGAAATCCTGCCCCTTTTTTGGGTGTGTGTGTGTGTGTGGAGGCGACCTCAGGCTTCCTTAAGAAGATCCCAGGTTAAAGGAGGACAGATAACAGATAATAATCAAGAGTTTGAAGGGACCTTGTAGGTCATCTAGTCCAACCCCTGCCCAAGCAGGAGACCCTACACCGTTTCTGACAGATGGCAGTCCAGTCTCTTCTTGGAAGCCTCCAGGGATGAAGCTCCCACAACTTCCCAAGTTGTCAGAAAATCCCTCCTTATTTCCAGGTTGAATCTCTCTCTTTGATCATCTTCCATCTGTGATTTCTTGTCTGGCCTTCAGGTGCTTTGGAAAACAGCTTGACCCACTCCTCCTCTTTGTGGCAGCCCCTCAAATATTGGAAGGCTGCTCTCCTATCTCCCCTGGTCCTTCTCTTCCCTAGACAAGCCAGGCCCAGTTCCTGCAACCATTCTTCATATGTTTGAGCCTCCAGTCCCCTCATCATCCTGGTTGCTCTTCTCTGCACTCTTTCCAGAGTCTCAACATGGTTTTTATAGTGTGGTGACCAAAACTGGATGCAGTATTCTAGGTGTGGTCTTACTAAGCCTTTGTAGAGTGGTATTAGTACCTCTCTTGATCTTGACTGGATCCCTCTGTTAGTGCAACTTAGGATTGCATTCTTGCATAGCTTGCATAGCTTCACCCCTCCCTCCTCCTCTCTGTGGCAGCCTCTCAAATATTGGAAGATGCTCTCCTATCTCTCCTGGTCCTTCTCTTCCCTAGACTAGCCAGGCCCAACCTGGCCCAACCTGGCCCAAATTCCTGCAACCATTCATTCTCCATCCTCCAGGCCATGGTTGCCCCAAAGGTGCTATATTTTTCGAAGAAGCAACTGGACTTTCTGTTTTTTCTTTGAAGACGTTTCACTTTTCATCCAAGCTCTTCAGCTCTGAAGAAGCTTCTTGAATGAGACATGAAACATCATCAAAGAAAAAACAGAAAGTCCAGTTGCCCCTTGGAAAAATATAGCACCTTTGGGACGTTCTTCATATATTTTAGCCTCCGGTTCCCTAATCATCCTGGTTTAGATTAGTTTAGATTAACAGAGTTGGAAGGGACCTTGTAGGACATCTAGTCCAACCCCCTCTCCCAAGCAGGAGATCCTACACCATGGTTGCTCTTTTCTGCACTCTTTCTAGAGCAAGGCTCTTCAAACTTGGCAAATTAAGACTTGTGGACTTCAACTCCCAGAATTCCTGAGCTAACATGACTGGAGGAGGAACTCTGGGAGTTGAAGTTCACAAGTCTGAAAGCCGTTAAGGTTGAAGTTCTAGAGTCTCAATATCTTTTTTATAATATGGTCACCAAAACTGGATGTAGTATTCCAGATGTGGCCTTACTAAGGCTTTATAGAGTGGTATTTACCTCACTTGATCTTGATTGGATCCCTCTGTTAATACAACAGAAGCAGCTCTTGGTGCTTTGTCATGTTATATGTATTTCTTAATCAATTTTATACAGCTGCCCATCCCAAGATGGCACAGTGAGGGTTTGTGTCCTTCGCACGAGACACAACATCCCTGGGGCAAGAAGGCTGCTCTTCATTTGAGAGAGACAATTCCAGGATTTGGCACAGCTGGCAGAGGAGCCGAGCTGCAGGGGCGCTTTTG